AAAATTTCTGTGAATATAGGTTGGGCAAAGGTCAGAGCACGTGTATGCAATGACTTTGACATTCACGTAGGAAATTAGTGTGCCCTATCTGTAGAAAATCTGCTAAAATAAACAGGATCTGCAACCATGTTGATTTGATTACAAATGGAGGGATGTAAAGAAGTATATTCACAAGTTGATTACGGTCAAACTTCAGAGACTGAAAGTGTAATTTAGTCTTTAGCTGATTGAATGTGTCTTTGCCAGGAGGAACTGACTACCTTTAGGAGAACTCTCTAATAAGATGGCAGAAGTAGAAAATTAACATAAAGAGTGAAACAGTGGGATTTGTTTTCCCAAAAATTAAGAAATCTTGGAAATATTTCATAGTAAATCTTTCGCAGAAAACCTTGGGCAGAACATGATGCTTACCTGCAGAAAATACCCAATTCATATTTTTCTTTGATGATGGTTCTTTGCCGTTTTATAAAAAGAAGTTTTACCTCGGCGCTTGTAAGTTACACTCACAGTTGACATGCACGTAAATACCTGTCATCTGGCATGATTGTTAAACAGATGAGTTTGTCAGTTTTTCTTCTCTTTGTTTGGATGGATAAGTTTGACAGCACCAAGAGTGTGCACAATAATATAATGCGGAAAACTTGAACCTCATGCAATAAGGTGTGCACTTCATAGGGGTGTACCGTGTAACTGATTCATTTGAAGGCAGGATTTACTTTTGGAATGTCATATTGGAGATTTAAAGTTTTCGTTTTCTTTTCTTTATCTTCCTCTTATCTTTGATATTGATTTGTGAGATGTATTCACATTACATGCACCATTTCATTGGGCATTGTTTTCTTTTCCTCCTATGGAAAAGCCCTGATCCAATTATTTGTTCAGGGCTCACCTGAAGAATTTATTAACAAGAACAGAGAGGCTCTTGAAAGTGAATATGTTAGCTCTAATCTACACCATTGGATAGATTTGGTATTTGGTTACAAGCAGCGTGGAAAACCTGCCGTGGAGGTACCTCTGTGATAATTCAAAAAATTATTCTGATCAGTCCTGCAAATTCTCTATTGGTTGATATTAATTTATTAAAAATATACTGATCAAAATATTATTGAAATATAGGCAGCAAATATCTTTTATTACTTAACCTATGAATGCGCTGTTGATCTGGAAACCATGGAAGATGATTTGCAAAGATCAGCAATTGAAGACCAAATTGCAAATTTTGGCCAGACACCAATTCAGATTTTCCGTAAAAAACACCCAAGAAGAGGGCCACCTATTCCAATTGCCCATCCTTTGCGCTTTGCACCTGGTTCTATTAACTTGACTTCCATTGTTTGTAGTTCAAGTCATCAACAGTCGGCTGCTCTATATGTGCGTACAGTGGACTCTAATGTTGTCCTTGTAAACCATGGGCTCACCTTGTCAGTTAAGATGTGGTTGACAACCTCACTGCAATCTGCTGGAAATTTTACCTTCTCTGGCTCCCAGGTAGGGTTTTACTTTGTTGGATCTCTGGATATTTTTTATTGTTATGTTTGATTTTATTTTTTCCTATAAGGACTTAGGACGCATACTAAATAAACATGTACAGGATCCTTCTTTTGGTGTTGGTTCTGATATTCTTTCTCCTCGTAAAATTGGGAGTCCTTCGGCTGAAAATGTTGAACTTGGAGCACAATGCTTTGCAACAATGCAAACACCATCTGAGAACTTTTTGATCTCATGTGGCAATTGGGAAAATAGCTTTCAGGTTATATCCTTAAATGATGGCCGAATGGTACAAAGCATCAGACAGCATAAGGATGTGGTCAGTTGCATTGCAGGTATGTTTAATTACTGGAAGACAATTATCTTTACCTTCAATCAAGGCACATGCATGTGAAGGTAGAGACAAAGTTTCCTTTCGCCCTATTTGAAGTAAATTTAACAGAATACACCGTGGGGAGGCATAATGAACTTTCTAAACCATAAGGTGGCCAAGTGAAAATGAGCAGTACCATTATGGGGTGAATTGAATTTTTAAAATTTTACAACAGAAAAAAAAAAAAGAAGGAAAAGGATACTGCTAGTCCATACTTTCTCATTCTTAAATAAATGGACTAAAAATATCAGAAAGCATGTGCATATATGTGTTTGATCTCAAGAGGTGGATAGAATGGCCATCTGGTTCCTTAAGTGCGGTCTGAAATTGAAAGAAATAGACTCTAGAATTAGGCAAACACAGTGGAACTCAATTGAGTTAGGAAAGGTTGCTGGAATGGAGAATTTTTTGCGTATATATGTTAAAATACTTTCCTTTTACCAGAATGTATGTTAGAACACTATAAGCACATCATTTATTTTTGTCCCAAAAAAAAAAACAAATTGGGCCCGTGTGCCTTCTCTCCTGGCTTCACTTGCTGGAAAACAATTTAACAGTGAAAATCAACAAGTAGATTTGTCAATTATGATTTGTGATCTTACATGATTAAAACATGAGACTTGAGAAATGCTGAGGCAAAATCTCAAAATTCAATGCAATAGCATGCGTATGTGCTTTTTTTGGACTATGAGTTGTGGTAACAGATATGGTACTGGCATTGTAATGCATTAATGTTACGATCAAATAATGAAACCACTAATTTCTTGTCCTCTTCTGGGTGAGATTTTGGTTACTGGCTTTTTATTTTGGTAGAATTCTTCCAACTACACTCTGAGCTGTATCATTTATAATGCTGCAGTGACATCTGATGGAAGCTTCCTTGCAACTGGAAGTTATGACACTACAATCATGGTGTGGGAAGTCTTCCGAGGTAGAACCCAAGAAAAGAGGAGTCGCAATACACAGACCGAACTACCTCGCAAAGATTATGTCATTGTTGAAACTCCTTTTCATATTCTCTGTGGACATGATGATATAATTACATGCTTATATGTCAGTGTGGAGCTTGACATAGTGATCAGTGGATCAAAAGATGGAACTTGTGTTTTTCATACCCTGCAGGATGGAAGATATGTAAGATCGTTGCGCCATCCATCTGGATGCGCTTTGTCAAAGCTTGTCGCCTCTCGGCATGGACGCATCGTCTTTTATGCTGATGATGATCTGAGTTTGCATCTGTATTCAATTAATGGTAAACATCTTGCTTCTTCTGAATCCAATGGACGCCTCAACTGTGTTGAGTTGAGTGGGTGTGGTGAGTTTTTGGTTTGTGCTGGTGACCAAGGGCAAATCATTGTACGCTCTATGAATTCACTTGAGGTCATAAAGAAGTGTAATGGAGTTGGAAAGATAATTACATCTCTGACAGTGACCCCAGAAGAATGCTTCTTAGCAGGAACAAAAGAAGGAACCCTTCTCGTGTATTCTATAGAAAATACTCAACTTCGCAAAGCTAACCTTCCTCGAAATTCGAAGTCCAAACCTTCTTCAACAGGATAAATTAACCATTTGGGATTCAAGTTGTGGAGTTTCAATGGCGAGCAATGATTGGGATGTAAGTCCAAGGTATGCGCTGCAGTCATTTTCCTACAAGTTTTCACTTTTTAAATTTTTCGTTATTCAGACTATATATGTAGTAAATTTGATTGATGTTTGTCCTGTAGGACTTCATTTACTGTTCAATTTACTTTAACACGTTTTTTTTTTCCAGTAAGAGCACATTAAATTTATCTGGATATAAACCAAAATGATGAATTATGCCTTGGCATGGTAACAATTTTCCATTTCTTCATGGCTGGTTGGAAGTTCTAATAACATGTTGAAAATTTCTGTTGATTCATCGTTTGCTAACCTGCGGGCCAAACAAGTGTTTTATATTCTTGTACTCCCCTTCACTTGTGTGTGTGAAATTGAACTCAATGGTTATCAGTGTCTCCCCGGCTTTATTTTTCAGATTAAAAAAAATGTGGTTGAAGTATTCATAATGACAATTGAAATTATTGCAGTATTTGCTTGGATTGCCTTTAGATTTTGATTATCAAGCTTCAATACAGGAGTCTACAAAAGATTTCAGAATGATGAGCATGTCCATTACATGCCAGGGGCCCAGACTCCTTTCCATTTCGGTTTCGTCTCCTTGACACTTTGGTATGTGAAGACAAAGTAAAGGGATACATGCAGTTCAACTGGCACCACTTGAACAGTTTTGAAGGATGTTCAAGCATATTAATGTAACACATGGAGAGCTCGAGAACTTTATGAGGTGAAGTTTTCTGTAACATTTCAAAGTGGTAAAGTACTGCCTTCATACAAATCAATTGCTCCTCATCTCCATCTTGAGGATCAACATACATGTACATTATGTTCTTGGTAGGTTAGATTTAAAAGATTGTGTATTAACCACAGTGGCAGGCTAACTCTGGTTTTTCCTTTTTCTAAGTAGCAAGTGTTAATTCTTCAAACCTTGTATAGATGGGCTGCAGTGCCTATATTTTCTAAAGCAATGACAACACTTTTTTTTTCTTTTCCTTTACTCTGTAGCATAAATTCTCTGAAGTGACAGTAACTTACTTTTTCGGCCGATAGGGTTGCTCCATTCTTTTGTTGTTTTGCCCTTGAGTATCTTCTGTTTGTCCGCAATTATATTCAATATATTCTATGTGTTCTCAAATTTCAATGATATTCAAATCCTAGTCTGCTTACGAACTTAAGTTTTTGCAAATAGAGCTTTCCACAAAGTGCTATGTTCTTTCTACCTCCATTAATGATTGCAAAGCTGGATTTTGTACACTTTGACACAAGTGTAACTTTTTCACGGTGGCCGCTTTAGATCATCTTAGGTATGTTGATCATGTTGAGTGTGCAGTGAAGTTAACAGAATCAACTGCTTTGAGTGCGGTTACACTGCGTTTCTCGGTGAAATCTTTTGTTGATATGAAAATATTTAGCATTCATCATGTTATCTCATCTGTCCTTAGATAATTCCCGTTTTAACTCACTTTATGGGTTTTATTTTGACAACTGCATGACTATTTCAATACCATATAATAATTTCTCAAGAAATTAACAAACAAGCATATCAACCACACAAAGATATTATTGGAGGCAATTACAGTACTGCCATGGTAACTAAATTGTCAACCTTGGTGGGCTATTCTCCTCAAGAAAGCATATGAATTCATCCGCTATTTGATTGTTCCTATTTCTGTCTCCAAACAACCCCTTCATTTCCTTAGCCCTAATTCTTAATGACTCACCCGAGTTCTCCACCATTGCCAACCTTACAAGCTTAGCCACCGAGTCACGAGTAAATGACCCGTCCTGTGCAATTCTAGGTATCTCCACCCCAAGTCCCTTATTATTCCCTAACCTAGCATTAAGCCCTTGATCATTCACCATGGGGAATAGGATCAAAACCCGCCCGAACCCGAGCCCTTCAATCATCGAGTTCCAACCGCAGTGGGTCAAGAATCCACCCACAGAGTCATGACTCAGTATCCGCACTTGCGGAGCCCACCCCAAATGTACCACTCCACGACCCTCAACTCGTTCCACAAACCCATGTGGTAACATCTCAAACACGGACTGAGTTGACTCAGGTGGATTTCTCAACACCCAAAAGAACGGTACTCCAGATAGCTCCAACCCGAGAGCCAACTCAGTGAGTTCTTCTTGACTCAATGTTGCCTCGGTCCCGACTGCAATGTAGATCACTGAGTTGACTCGTTGCTTGTCAAGCCACTCTTTGATACCGACCCAATTTGTATCAAATTCATCCACTTGGTCATCTATTAGTGGGGGTAAAAACCCAACAGGAACAACTGGTTTTCCCTTCCCGTAAAGCTCTCTAAGCAAATTGATCCACTCGGGCTCAAACTCATCCGAGCTTCTAATAAACACAACTTCACTCTCATTAGTCGTTAGCCCGAAACGCACCGTATCGGGTGTAACGGACTCGTTCTCACTTGAACGTTGTACATACTTAGCAACCTCGTGAAGCCGGTACGCCATTTCAGACTCGAATGGGACCCACTCGGGAACCAAGGTGAAATCCTCAACACTGGTCCTGAAATCCTGGCCGTTGATCAACGGCGCCGGCGGACCAATGTACGCCAAACATGCGGCGCTGAAGCAGCTGAAGAAGGCGCGTGAGATGTCGAACCTTGCCGCGACTGGGGGAAGCCAGTGAGAGGCATAATCGTAAATAACCCAATCAGGCTTTGACTTTGAGGACTCGAGGAAATCGGTCAACGGCAATTCCAGCAAATCGAATGCCCTTTTCAGCAATAGCTGCTTGTTGTACGACACGTCCGTGGACGATTCGGCGTCGTTCGGGAGGTTGTCCAACCGGGGCAAAGGGAGGGAAACGAGGTTGATGAGAGAAGAGAGGTGTGAGGGTATTTTGGGAAGTCTGAGAATGTTTCTTGGGGTGGAGATGAAAGAAACAGAGTGACCCTTTTGAGCTATGAGCTTGGAGAGATGGAAGAAGGGTATGAGGTGGCCCATGGCCAGCCATGGAAACACCACCACATGAAGAACTCCATTCTTCTTCTCCTTCTCCATGAAAACTTACAGGGATGGAGGTAGAAGAAGCTCTTGCAGTTGTATTTATTTTATGACGGTCCAAAAATTGAATTTTCATGATATTTTGTTCATTGACTATGAATTTATTGTTAAATAAATGGCCGGCAGAGTTGAATTGTAAGAGCAAACAAGTTGATAGGCTACTCCTTAGTTGTGGCTTTAGAAATGTGCAAACAGTTTTGTAGTTTACTCATAAGAGATTCAGTGACTGAAAACAACATAAAAGAAAAGAAAAAAGAGAGGGAATGAATAGAGAAACCAATTTTAAAATTCAATCCCCCCAAAATCATTCAACTTATGTGAACACTCACCAGCCAGTAAAACCCACTATTCAACTCTGACTTGTCAAAAATGGTGACTGAACTACTTTTTGTTTGTTGAATTATTTAGTATTTTTGTAAAGGAGTTGACGTTTACTTTCAATGTGTTTTTTTTTTGTTTTTTAGTTTAGAATGACTTTGGCATGTTTACTAATCCATAATTGGATTATAAGAAATTGAAGTGAAGAGAAGTTGAATTCCAGATTCCTATTGAAGTTGTTTACTAAATCATATGGAATTAGGATAGAAGTGATGCTAATTACTAAAATGTACTCGTTGTTGGGTTAAAATAGATGGTAAATTTGAAAATTTTAAAACTATTTAGTATATAATGGATAAAAAAAGATGAATTCCTAATCCACCTCCCATCCAAGAATTCCTCTAAAATCAGGAATTCAATTCATAATTTTGTATAGGCCCCACTTATTTTTTAATTTCTTGATGTAAAGTAAATACAAGAATCTTCCATATGTGGAATTTAATTCCTGATGAGAATTTCAATTACTGATTACTAAACAAACCATCCACGTGTTTAAGATAAGTTAGTAACCAACAAAAAAAAAAAGCATAGCAAGAAAATGGGTGAACACTTGGTCCTCCTCTAAAAGAAAGAACCTGTTTCTGCTGGGCTTTGTTGCTTTCCTTGTAATCCTCTTTTTCCCTTTCTGCCTTTAAGGCCCTTTGGGCTTTATGAAATGCATTGTTAACCCCAAATAAAAAAGAAGAAGGCTGTCTAGGGCCTTACTAGGTTGTCAATGACCCCAAAAAAATCAAATATTCTGTTCTGTCTAAACTGGAAAAAATTAGAAACTAGGGGTGGGCATAAAAACCGATGAACCGAATGAACCGACCGAACCAAACCAAACCGGACCGAAAAATAAGGTTTTTTTTGACCAAACCGAAAAAGTCAACGTTGGACCTGACCCGAACCGAAGTCAACGGTTCGGCCCTCGGTTCCAAATTTTTTTGAACCGGTGGACCTGAACCGAACCGCCTATTATTTAATTATATATAAATTTGACACATGGCATGATATTATTGCCTAAAATGTGCTTGTACCGTGCGCTTGCTTGCACTAGATTACTCTAACCTAATATAAACATCTCCTCTTGACCTAACTAGCAGCCAGCCTCCATCTCAATTAATTTTTTTCGCCGCTCTCCATCTCTCAAAGAACAAAACAAGCAGATCTATCGTCTCCCTAGCTCTATCGTCTCCCTAACCTAATATAAACATCTCTCAAGCAGATCTGGAAGAACAAAACAAGAACTTGACTACCATGGTAGGTCTATTATTTATGTAGTTTTGTGTTTCTTTCTTAGTTTGCATCTTATGAGACTTTTAGTTATGGTCTGATGTAGGAGCGTGGGGCATGAATATTGTGAGCTCTGTGGGAATTATCATGGCCAACAAGCAGCTCATGTCCCCCCATGGCTTTGGCTTTGGCTTTGGTAAGTTCCTCTTTCTTCTTCTTCTTTTAACTATACTGTGTTTTCTTTTAATTTCAGATCTGAAGTAGACATCTTTTTTTCATAATTCATATTCACTTCTTCTCACCATTGATTTTTTTTTTTGAAAAGAAACTTTATCATTCAAAAAGGAAAGAACGAACACAGAACACAATGGCCAAGGGGGCCACCAAAAAAAGAAAGAACAAAAAACAAAAAAACCTCTACCCTACAACACAGCTGCTTTCCAGTCAGCTCCTCTCTAATTTCCTGAGTTCATTTTCGTCTGTTTTGTCTAATTTTATGAACTTAGTTTTGGATTGTATATTAAATATACATGCACTGTAGTGATGTTCATGGTCTTCAGATTGTTCATATTTGTCATCACAGTGGAGAGGCCATTAGTTAAAGATAGATGATAATTTTCTTCTGGTGCCTATGTTTGCTTTTATAAAGCTCTAATATGAGGTTATATAATTTTGTTGTTTATCTGTTTCTTGTTCAGGAGTAGTTCATGATTTTTGGCATATTCATTTGTTAAACTTTGAATGGTTTTGAAGATAAGCAAAAAATTTATTTCTATTTTTACTGAAATTATATGTTTGGTGATTGATTGTTGACTGATACAAGTGTATTTTTGGACAGATGAATGCAGCTTGCTTTGTCAAAACTTTTGGATGGATGGATGCTGATGTTTTGAAAGGATATTTGTTATTTTTTTTGTCATGGGTTGTAATCGTTATAATTTGGATTTCTTGCTTTATTATTTGTGTGGGTGTATTATTTATAATTTGAATGAGTTCAGCATTTGAAAATTGAAAGAGTAGAAAAATATATTCACAAAAAAAAAAAAAAAGAGTAGAAAAAAATGATTTGGGCCAGTTAATACTGAACTAAAGATTATTTGGGCTTAAAAATAACTAGTAGTGGGCTAAAGCCCAAAACCGACCAAAAAGCCTGAACCGAACCTGAGCCTATCGGGTTAGCTGGTTCGGCCCATTTTCGGCTTTTGATTTGGATCCGATCCAACCCGAGAATCGATATTTTACTCGGTTCGGCCCACGGGTCACTCAAAATTCAACCCGACCCGAACCGTGCCCAGGCCTATTAGAAACCGTGAATTATTATTATTATTATTATTATTATTATTTTGAGATTCCGGTAGTTATCTAACCACACCAAAGGCCAAAACATTATAAATAAATAAAATGATGGAAAGGTTTTCTGTTTAAGTGATCAAAAGTATTTATTTTTGCATTTGAAGTATCGTGATGATGTAATTGGTCTCAAATTTGAACTCCACGACACCTTGCTAATGTGTATAAGAAATCTCTCCTTTCTTTTCCCAACTTCGACACCCGAAAAAAAAGTTTTGTGATAATGCAAAGGATTTGCAATTGATCAAAAGCAATTATTCAACGCTTCTCAAGTGCCATCATCTACCATGTTAGATTTGACCCCAAAAAAAAGTACCATGTTAGAATCCCCCGCCTCTCCTAATATAGTTTGTTGTTGTTTCGACCAAATATATATATAATTGTTGTTGTTGAAACAATGGCGTTTCTCGTAATTATCGACACGAAACAGGGTCATTTCTCGTTGTGCCCATACTTACGGACCATACTCGTTGTGTAATGAGCTGTCCTTCACTATGGTGTCTGCTATCTCTCTCTCTCTCTCTCTCTCAAAAGAAAAATAAAATAATTAATTAATAAAATCATAAATTTACAAAACAAAAGAGAACAAATACAACAAAACTCACACCTGACTCTCCTTCTACTTTTCTTTTTTTTGTTTTCCAAAACCCCAATTCTTTTCTGAACAGCCTTCGATTTGATTTTGGGTTTAGGGTTAGGGTTTCGGTTTCACTCAGTGATTGGCTCCTCTCTGTAATGCTTCAAAGACCATCGATCCGATTCGTGAACCTCTTCCAATGTACGGACACTCCGAGCCCATGACCATGCCCAACCCGATCCCCGCCGGTGGGGACGACGATGCCGCCGGCCCCGGCGTCGACTCCATTGACAACGCCCACATTCACTACGAACCCCATACGCTCGAGGACGGCGGCGGCGTCGTCGCCGTCGTCGACGATGTAAGCTCCGACCCCGTCTACGACGTCGGTAGCTCCGAAATGCGTGCTCAGCCGTACGACGGCTCCAGTCAGCTCACGCTCTCGTTTCGTGGCCAGGTCTTTGTTTTTGACGCTGTTACGCCTGAGAAGGTTCGAACTTGATTGGTGATTTTGTTTGTTTGTTGTGATTTAGGGTTTTTTAGAGCTTGTGATATTGTTTCTGTTCGGTTTCTGAGCAAATGTGGGTGGCTGATGGCAATGAAGTTTTTTAATTTTGAAATGTTTTGAGTATTTATTGAACTGGTTAGAATTAAACTGAAACTTTTGCTTCACTGGTTGTAGTTAAATTCCTTGCGTCTTGTAAAGTCTCTTGGCAACCAAATCAGGAGTAGGGTTTGGCTTTGATACATTTGAATATACTTTGGTTACTGAATCTTTGTGCATTGGCGTTTGAAGGTTCAAGCAGTGCTATTATTGTTGGGGGGCAGCGAATTATCTTCCGGGCCTCAAGGTGTGGAGTTGGCATCTCAGAATCAGAGGGTATCTCCTTAGACCGAAAAACTTTGACAGCATATTTAAATTTATTAGTGATTATGTTTTTCTTGTCTTTTAATAATATGTAGGGTACAGAAGATTTCCCCATACGATGTAGTCAGCCTCACAGAGCAGCGTCGTTAAGTAGGTTTCGTCAAAAGAGAAAAGAGCGATGCTTTGATAAAAAAGTCAGATATAGTGTCCGCCAAGAAGTTGCACTCAGGTTTGTTTCTTTTTAAAAGAAAAAATTGCACTCGGTGGTGCAGTCTATGTAATATGCTTCTGCTTGAATTTATTTGGTGTAATATATGAGCTTATTGGAGTAAACAAGAGAAGTTGCATGTGCCTGCACAACCCCAGGGTTGGGAAAATAGAAATTCTTTTTCATTTCCTAGTACCTCAAGTTGGGGAAACCAATCATTTCATTTCAAAGTGTTTTAATAACTGACTAATGGCCTTGCAATATTTGGCATGGCTAGTTTTTTGGATTTAGTACATTGTATGATTTTATGTTACAAGTTTAATTTGGCATCTGAAAATTTAACATTTATAATTGCAAAACACTTGTTTGGGGATTTTTATCAAACACGATGCATGAAAACTTAGTAGGTTATAGTTATGTTAATAATATCTCTGGAAAGAGGCGAAATGCTTACGGGAGTTTATTATTTAGTCATGTTTTTCTAGGCTAGTGCTGGTATGTAAAGGTCATGTTCAAAGAAACTCCTAGTCACCTGAACATAGATGTCCTTTTGGTGTCCATGCTTTGTTTAAATCTCAAAGTGATGTCATGCAGCCAAGCCAAAGCATTTGGGGTTAAGACTTAGTTTAGCATGACTTGTGTGTAACACATTCAGTTCTCAGATTACATGTTGTCTAATTTATAAAAATATACACTAAAACTACATCACCTGAATTGGAGTCTTCATGTGTCTTTTATATGTTTATGTACTCAATGGCTCCAAGGAAGAAAGCATGATATAATGAGCATCCTGCCTTCTATTGTTTTGTTCTTTTGTTGCTCATCATTGTTCTAGCTTTACCACTTTGGTTTGTTTTCACTTTCCATGCTTGATTTATGTATTTCCATCTACATCAGGATGCAGCGTAACAAGGGGCAATTTTCTTCTGCGAAAAAGTCAGATGGAGATTTTAGCTGGGGTAATGGCCAGGAGTCAGGGCAGGATGATAGCCATGCAGAAACCTCGTGAGTTTATCAATATTATAGAGTTTTGTGCTCCTAAGAAACAAATATATTAATATTTTGATAGATGAGATTTTATTTTATTTTTTCTTTGTACTCCTTTATATTCATTTCCTCTTTTTGAAGCCGTATCATATTTTATCTTATCATACTTTTTACCTTTTGCACCTTACCTGTGACTAACTAATAACTATCCTTGCATCTTTTGTGATTTGTATGTTCTGCCTGTCCAGCTGCAAGCATTGTGGAATAAGCTCAAAGTCCACACCAATGATGCGGCGTGGGCCATCTGGTCCAAGGTCTCTTTGCAATGCTTGTGGGCTTTTTTGGGCAAACAGGGTCAGTATCTCTAACGATGAATTGATCACTTCTTTTCCTTTATTGCAAAGATATTTTGTATGTCATTCCTCCTTTATGGATCTTTTACCCTCCTCCCGCCACCCATCTACCACAAAATTAATATCATGTTTAATCTTTGATTTCTTTTGTGCTCTCATGAATTGCTGACATTGTTTAGAGGTCTGAAGGGTTGAATTTCTGAAAAAAGACTCCATTATATTCTTCAGCTAAGGCTGTAGACCATGGGTGTCATGCTGTTGTCTGCTAAAAAGGAGTATTGCATGGAAATGTCTTAATTTTGTTCTTAAAATTTCTGAATATGGTTTAAATTTTAAAAACGTCTGTTTTTGGGAGAGGGGTCATGGAAAAAAAATTATACCACTGTAAATTCTCAGAGGTATAAATTCAACATTACTTTATGTTTTTTTTTTTTTGAGAAGCAACTTTACTTTACGTTTGATCTCCCAAGTTTAAGATTTGAAAGTTTTGCTCCACTTTGAATTCACAAGACTCAGTTTTCAGTTGAATACACTACAAGCATTCTTGTATATCTGTAGAGGAGATATCATATTTCTCACAATTGACATCAAAATTTTGCAGGGGACTTTGAGGGAGCTTTCCAAGAGAACCCAGGATCATTCTGTGACTCCAGCTGAGCAGGTGTGTTCACATATCTGACTACATCTATTCATTGGGTTGGTATTGTTATGTTCAAAATGGTATTTTCATTTTCTCTGACATGTAAATTTTGTGCCCTTCTTTTTATGTATTCTAAACAGGGTGAAGCTGATACTAAAGATTTGAACAGCGTAACTGCCATCGATGCACACAACAGTCTTGTTCCCTTCTCTAATGGTGATAGCTCAGCTTTAGTTGCTGAACAGTAGGTTGTTTCATTAAAAGGCCAAACTTGTCTCTGGCAGTGGCATCATTCAAGTAGGTTCTCTCGTAATTTTCGTGTTGATTGTCCAATCTTAATGTACAGCTATAATAGTACCTTGATCAATACAAGAAGTCAGCTATTTATTCCCTTTTTTTTTTCTTTTTTTGGGGTTTAGTTTTGGTACCACTGTGCTGGACACTAGCTCGAGAGGATATAAAAAAATCTTAACCATTTTACCATATGATCTTTCAAATTATGCATTATCTCTTTCTTTTTGATAGCCTACATGACTGTCTCAAAGACAATACGCTTGAGAGTTGAACAATTGTATTAAATCAGGTAATTGAGCTAAATATTGCTATTTTTATGCCAGAAAATGATTGAAAAGAGTCATGCTCTTAATTATTGGCCTTTTTTTATCTGGAATTATTGGCCCTTTTGTTAAAAAATTGTTTCAGCCCTTTGATATACGATGCTGGATGAAAATCTAATATTCAAGTTGAGTAATTTGTAGAATATGCAAATGGATAATATGTTCTTGTTGAATTTTCGGATTTTCATCCCAACGATTTATCGAGTGTGGTATGTTTCGTATTGAAACTTGCATTAAGCTCTACTAATATCACGAGGTTGAAAGTTAAAGCTCATCGGCGTAATGAAACAACTGTGGTTGAACTGCAGATAGAATATTCGTTAGAAACAAAGTTTTCAAAGTTTGTTGCAACGCATCTAATTTCCAGCCCATTTGACACACCCTTCAAATCTTACTCGACCAGTTAGTCTTAGGACAGACATTTCTTTTTTCTATTTTTACAAGCGATATTGAGAGAGGGAGAAATCAAACCTAGGAGCTTAGGTGCAGAGATGAATGCTCTTAACCGCTTTAGCCACGAGCCCTTTACAAGAGAGACATTAAAATCATTTAAGTAATTTTCAGTTCTTGAAAAGGAAATAGGCAAACTGTGGCATCAATGAATAAATGTTGTTATCTACTTAAACTACAAATAGATCTGGCGTCAATGATTTATAATGATCTCTTACCTACCTTCTCTCTCTGGAGAAAGGTAATAGGAAAAAGGAGGAGGAAATGGTACTGCAACTTTTACCCTATGACACCCCACTAGGCCTTTTTTTGAGTGCCGACCTGACTGAGCTTGACCTGACAATCAATCTTGAGTCTTGGGAATGTTTGTCTCTCTCTGTTATAATCATTTGTTGACTCCACCTGACTTGGGTGCCTGCCTTATATGTTTGATTGATTTGGCTGAGGTTTGAGTCCCATGTTGACTCAAAATAGTTATTCCACAATATTATAACGGGTTTGATTTTTTTTTTTTTTTAAGTAACTTACAACAAAGATCTTCGTCGGATCTAAAAACCAAACATATCAAACATAATTTTATAATATATATAAAAGGGAAAATTTCCATACCAAATACAAGGATGTTCAAACATTGTGGGTTTGAATGTTAGAGGGCAAGAACTAGCTTCCTCCTCATTAAAATCATTATATATATAAATAAAAATTTTAAAAAAACATAAAGTAAAACAATGGTATCAAGGGAAAGGGTGAGGGTGAGGTGGGATGATAACAACAACTCGTTGACGATGGTTTGATTGAATGTTTGACTCAAGTGTTGATTTTAAGGAAGTTGGGTATTTTTTTTTTGACAGGGGAATGAGTGGTTTTTTGAAAATGCATGACTTGTGTAGGTGTGAAGTGGAGGTGTCAAATTGGGCTAGCTGGCCCGACACTATACAAGTTTAATTCGTTCAAATGAAGCACAATATTGCTCAAACATGATTATTGACGGATTGTATTAAACACGACACAGAAGTATGGGTCGTGCAAGAATCATAAAATTAAGCCCATACTGTAGAGAGCATGGATCTCATTTTATTTAAATGCTTTGATAGTTGAATCAATCAAAGAAGAATGAAAGCATAACAACTATGGGATGAGTGCAAATGAATAAAATGGAAGTGTGAAAAACGCCATAAAAAAGAAAAAGGAAATGTTAGCTACCTTCCTATTTGTCCATTTCTACCTATTGCTGTCTCAAATCTCATTCTGAAATCTGATTCTCATCCTAATATGTAATCTGATGAAGGAACTACCTACTAAACCCTCCCCCTCTTCTTGTTCGTCTTAAAGATCATATTTGGAGAAGAAGAAAAAATCAATTAAATCCAAAGTCGTTTAATCTTCTAACAATTTCCAAATAAACATACGATCTCATTGTTTTGATTAAAATGCTGCTTCAATCAAACACATTTTGCACATCTGAGAAACATGTTCATCCATCGTCGGCGTCGCACATCTCAGAAAACTGGTATGTTGTTTTTAATTGTATAGGCTATAGCTCCAATTTCATTTGGATCCAACAACTACAATCTTACGTATAGGTATAGCTCCAATTTCATTTAATTAAGCTCAACTAGGAATATCCCATAATTATTATGATTATCTTATACTGGAACTGAAACCCCACCCACTGCTCCAATTTCTTTTTGATTATTTAATTATTATGATATAGGTCTTGTTATTCTTATTAAGTATTTTCACATTCTAGATTTACTATAACGACTTCAGTCATGTGCCACAAAATCTGTTTTAATATGTTTCTTGCTTTTAATTTGTTTTGATGGAAATTAGGACCTTTAGAATGGGGACATACCACTTTAGAATGTTTGTTTTGATGGAAATTATGAACTTAGATGCATGCTGGAAATCGTGCAACCTTTGATTGAATGGAATGTTATTGTGTTAGCATTTGTGTTATATGCTTTTATAACAGCAGCCTTGCAAGTCGTTTGTAATGTTGTTGTGTTAGCATTATAATGTAAGAGCAGGGTGAAAAATGCATAGTTTTGTGTTGGTCATAAACCGGCCGAACCAATCCGAACCAAACCGTTTATAAGTGGTTTGGATTGGTTCGGTTTTCGTTATGGTTTTAGGCTAATCCGAACCAAACCGATCCGTTCTTTTCTTATTGGTTCAGCTGTGGTTTGAGAGTAAAACCGAACCAATCCGGACCGTGCCCACTCCTAATTGCAAGTACAACATTATCCAATTTTAGATCAAATAGCCATGACGACACTTAACCTGGACCCAAAATCCCCATATAGTCCTCTATCCTATGACTCTCTGGTCCATTCCATATATTGACAAAAACACAGTCCCAATTTAGTAATTTCTCCAAAATTCCAGACCACTTTCCAAACCCAATCACCACAAACAATAATCTCTCACCCCACGCCTGCAATCACTACCACCAGCCGTTGGATTGCATTACCCATAACCCATCCAGTGCAAATGGGCCCCACCCACGGTTACATCACTCATCACCCTCACCCACACCCACCAGAAACAACACGCTTGTGAGACGTGGGCCCCGCACCCCATCAATATATCATCAATCGCAACCGTCCACAAAACCCTGCGAAACCTCAGACCGTGCTCCCACGTAGCACTGAATCATCCCCTTGCATTATAATTGAAAAGAAAATGATTTTCGCCTTTTGATTTATTTGTTTTGGGGAAATCATTTTATTACCCATTTGCGGCTCTCTAAGGAAACACAGCGCCAAGCTCTGTGAAAATCTTAGCTATTTTTGGGCTACTTTCAATTTTTTTTTATCGTTGATTTTCGAAGCTTCTTCTTCTTCTTCGAGCTCAGAAATTCCAGCTGGAGCTTATAGTTGCAGGGTTTTAGGGTTAGGGTTTGGTATTGAAATTGTACTGGTTTCGTTGTGACGGAGACGATGATTGTTTGTCCGGTGGAACGGGGTTAGGGTTTGAATTGGGAGAAGGTGGTGGTGAGGCTGGGGATTTGGTGTGGAGGGAGTATTGGATGGCGGCCGTGAATCCGCAGCCACTGCAAGCGCGACCATTCGAGGAGCACGGGAGAGGTCCGATACCGATCGAAGACGACGAGGCTGAGTACGAAGATGGTGGTGATGATGGTATGGAGGACATGGAAGAGGTTCATGTGAATTCGGTCAGCGTTGCGGAGCGTGGAGGAGGAGGAGGAGGAGGAGGTGTGGTTATGGCGTCCAGGACTAGTGAGCTCACTCTGTCTTTTGAAGGCGAGGTCTATGTCTTCCCTGCTGTTACACCTGAGAAGGTCTCTTTCTCTCTTTCTCTCTCTCTCTCTCTCTCTTTTTTTTTTTTTTTGAGTAAATTTATTGTAATAAGAACCTTTTTTTTTCTTCCCAAATTTTATGCCTGTGCGGCTGTACTGTGCTTCCGTACTATATTATCTTTTGCGAGCTTTAAGTTACTGGGTTTTGTATTTGTCCTTGTAATTGCAAAGAGTTGATAAGGGGTTCTGAAATATGGGCGTTTACTGCAAACTATCTGCTGTCCAACGAAAAATTGAAAATTAAGGGACTGTTTTTTTTTTTGGTTACAAAAATTAAGGGACTTTAAGTATTGTTGTTTATGATAAAATTTCATTTGATTATGATTCAGTTTCTTCACTTATTAATATTTTCTTTTGAGATTAAATATATAAGTTTATTAATTGAAAATAAATATATAAGTTTATTTATCTACTCCTGGATTCCATTGTGACTTGGCGTTTAAACTCATCCCTTGGAAGAAGAGTAAAAGTATATTGTATAATATTCGAATATGTAAAGCAATATGGGGAGCGTTTACTGCAAACTATCTGCTGTCCAACGAAAAATTGAAAATTAAGGGACTGTTTTTTTTTTTGGTTACAAAAATTAAGGGACTTTAAGTATTGTTGTTTATGATAAAATTTCATTTGATTATGATTCAGTTTCTTCACTTATTAATATTTTCTTTTGAGATTAAATATATAAGTTTATTAATTGAAAATAAATATATAAGTTTATTTATCTACTCTTGGATTCCATTGTGACTTGGCGTTTAAACTCATCCCTTGGAAGAAGAGTAAAAGTGTATTGTATAATATTCGAATATGTAAAGCAATATGGGGACAACAATTATTGGCAGGACAATATAGTTTGAATTGTAGGTCTGCAATAAGACATATTTTCAAATTAAAAATTTCATTCGGTTTTTATGAACTTCCATTCCGTCATTTGCTTCATTATAACTAACTATTGGATTATGATAATCCCTTTAACTAGTTGAAGCCAAGCCAATCTTTATCTGTTTCTGTTTTCTCAAAGTTGGCCTTTACATCTGTTTACTAAATTTACTATAACATGTCTTTGCTGGTTTGCATTATGCTTAGTTTAAAAGAAGGCTCGGACTTTGGATTCTATATAACAGGTGCAAGCAGTACTCTTGCTATTGGGAGGACGTGATGTACCAACTGGTGTGCCTACAGTTGAAGTGTCTTACGATCAGAATACACGGGTAATGCATATGTTGACATTAATGAGACCAATTTCAATGCATCTTCTGTGCTTATGTTCACGTGTTGCCTTCCACAATATCTAGGGTGTGGCTGACACCCCAAAACGTTCAAATCTTTCACGAAGAATAGCTTCGCTGGTTCGGTTTCGTGAAAAACGGAAGGAGAGATGCTTTGACAAGAAAATTAGGTACACAGTCCGTAAAGAGGTTGCACAGAGGTGAGACAAATTTATGACCCTTCCTTCATTCCATTTTTTTTTTCTCTGGATGGGAGGGGGATGGGGGATTTGGATTTGACAAGAGAATCAGTATTGTGTAATTATAGGTCAGAATTTAGGTTTGTAAGACCTAGTAAATTATAGCACCTTATACCTTTTGTTTCAGTTGCACCAACTGTTATTACATTCTGAATGCAGTTTGATCTTGACTTTAGGTACTTGAAAGTTTGATATGTATATCCTTGCCTTATAACATTTTCTCTTCATGTTCAGTCTACTTCGAGATGGTTTCTGAGCTGTTAACTCTATAATTTAATAGAATTCTTATTTGTTCTAGAACAGAATAGCTATCTATTTACTGAAAAATAGCCTGCTTATGTGACTCTGAATTTTGGGTTTGAGCCAATGAGTAATTGGTTTCTTTGAAACCTATTACCAATGTGGTTTATAATTGAGTATAGACTTACCTTTTGGTTTACACATGTAGTAGTTTTGAAGTTTATTTACGAAACAAAAAACAGAAATCAACATCTGTAATTTTTGTACGTCTATTTTTGGTTGTAAGTTAGATTTTATTTGGAGCAGGGCAGAAGTTAGAAATAGGAATTAGATACCAAAAGCTGTTTGGTTTTTTTAAAATTTGTAATCTCCACTTGCCAAGTTGTCAGAGACTCGGAACATGCATCCAATGCCTCTAGAAAAAGCATGTAAAATTCTAGAAAAGGAGGATTTAGTCACAACTTATGACATTCAATTTGGCACTCTTAACCACCCGCACATTGCCAAGTTTCTCTGTTCCAGTTTTTGAAAGAATATTGAACTTCCCTAATCCTAACCCTGAACTGGACTCTCCTCCCACCAAAGCTTCAAAGTATCGCTGAAAGATCTGTGATGAAATCACTCTCCCCCGTTCAACTTCCGATAGACAAGCTTTTGTTAAATCAATTTCCACCCAGACTACCTGGGAGGTGGCTGGTTGAGGTGTAAGTTGTGATTTGCACTGGAGCAAAACTTTTGGTGGTGCTCAATCCTTAGGAGTAAGTAAAAAGTCCAGTCTAATAGCAGGGATATTAGACTCTGGATAGAGCCATTCAATTATTGAGGCACTTTATGGGATCTATATGTTGTTAAAGGAATTTGAATGCTAGAGATCTCAGAATTTTCAGCTGTGTTGTCTTGGATAAATAATGTCTCTTTAAATGTGGATGAGAGCCATCTTTTTTATTTGATGAAATTGTGCATTGTGTATATTTTGTATTTATGAATCCTTTCTTTGTTTATTTTTCTTTATTTATAATGTCTCTAAAAGTGTTAGTGCATTCTTTGTTTATTTTATTGGTATTTTTTTTTTTTTTTTTCCAAATGCTTAAATACTTTCTTAATAAATGGTCTTCTGTGCTGGTTTGTATGTGAGCTATGGATTCAATTTGTGTGCATTAACATGAAAAATGGGAAGATAGGGAGATTCATTATTGATGCAGATGTTAAAAAATCTACAATATTGTTGTTTGCATCTTCAATGGTCCTATGGTGTTAATGATGTGTCATTCTTTTTGTCATTGTTATCATTATGATAGGATGCTTCGTAAAAATGGAACAAGAGAATCAGTATTGTGTAATTATAGGTCAGAATTTAGGTTTGTAAGACCTAGTAAATTATAGCACCTTATACCTTTTATTTCAGTTGCACCAACTGTTATTACATTCTGAATGCAGTTTGATCTTGACTTTAGGTACTTGAAAGTTTGATATGTATATCCTTGCCTTATAACATTTTCTCTTCATGTTCGGTCTACTTCGAGGTGGTTTCTGAGCTGTTAACTCTATAATTTAATAGAATTCTTATTTGTTCTAGAACAGAATAGCTATCTATTTACTGAAAAATAGCCTGCTTATGTGACTCTGAATTTTGGGTTTGAGCCAATGAGTAATTGGTTTCTTTGAAACCTTATACCAATGTGGTTTATAATTGAGTATAGACTTACCTTTTGGTTTACACATGTAGTAGTTTTGAAGTTTATTTACGAAACAAAAAACAGAAATCAACATCTGTAATTTTTGTACGTCTATTTTTGGTTGTAAGTTAGATTTTATTTGGAGCAGGGCAGAAGTTAGAAATAGGAATTAGATACCAAAAGCTGTTTGGTTTTTTTAAAATTTGTAATCTCCACTTGCCAAGTTGTCAGAGACTCGGAACATGCATCCAATGCCTCTAGAAAAAGCATGTAAAATTCTAGAAAAGGAGGATTTAGTCACAACTTATGACATTCAATTTGGCACTCTTAACCACCCGCACATTGCCAAGTTTCTCTGTTCCAGTTTTTGAAAGAATATTGAACTTCCCTAATCCTAACCCTGAACTGGACTCTCCTCCCACCAAAGCTTCAAAGTATCGCTGAAAGATCTTTGATGAAATCACTCTCCCCCATTCAACTTCCGTTAGACAAGCTTTTGTTAAATCAATTTCCACCCAGACTACCTGGGAGGTGGCTGGTTGAGGTGTAAGTTGTGATTTGCACTAGAGCAAAACTTTTGGTGGTGCTCAATCCTTAGGAGTGAGTAAAAAGTCCAGTCTAATAGCAGGGATATTAGACTCTGGATAGAGCCATTCAATTCTTGAGGCACTTTATGGGATCTATATGTTTTTAAAGGAATTTGAATGCTAGAGATCTCAGAATTTTCAGCTGTGTTGTCTTGGATAAATAATGTCTCTTCAAATGTGGATGAGAGCCATCTTTTTTATTTGATGAAATTGTGCATTGTGTATATTTTGTATTTATGAATCCTTTCTTTATTTATTTTTCTTTATTTATAATGTCTCTAAAAAGTTAGTGCATTCTTTGTTTATTTTATTGGTTTTTTTTTTTTTTTTTTTTC